TGGGCTATGTGCATCGCCGGTAAGGCCAGCATTTGTTGCTCATCCTGAAACGTCCCTGATCTGATGGCTTGTTAGGGCCATTTCAGTTAAGTATCAACACCCATTGCTTGGGTTTGACGTCACATGTACACCAGACCATCTGTAAAGATGGCAGATTTCCATCCCTAAAGGTCTTTAGTGAACCAGGTGGGCTTTTACAACAAATTGACAATAATTTGTGGTCACCGTTACTGAGACCATGAGGTCATAAAACTAAAAGACTGGAGTAGGCTGGTCGACCCCTTGAGCCTGCTCTGCCATTTCAATAGAATCATGGCTGATCCTACAGTTCTCATGTCTACATTCCTGTATTTATCTTGTAACCCTTAATTCCCTACTGATCGAGAATCTATCTATCTCTTATATATACACAAGGGCTCTGCCCCCAATCACTGTGACACCGAGTTCCAAAGACTCATACCCCTCTGAAAGAAGAAATCCCTCCACATCTCAGTCTTAAATTGGTGTCCCTTTATTCTGAAACTATGCCCTCTGGTCCTAGTCTCTCCCATGAGAGGAAACATCCTCTTATCATTTACCCCTTAAGAATCCTAATGTTTCAGTGAGATCACCTTTCATTTGTCTAAATTCCAGTCAGTGGAGTCCCAACCTGTTTAGCCTTTATTCATAAGACAATCCCTTCATAACAGGAATCATCCAAGTGAACCTCTGAACTGCCTCTTAAATATATGAGTCAAAACTGCTTACAGTACTTCTGAGCTTAACTATCAATTCAGATTTATTAACTGAATTTAAATTCTACCCGCTGCTGTCATGGATTTGAACCTGTGTGCCCAGAGAATTAGCCTGGGCCTGTTGATTTAGTAATTGAGTGACACTAGCACTATGCCACCTCAATAACATCACTGCTTCCTTTTCTACATCATTCTATTTATATCTAAAGCTCTCATCTATACTCTCATTATGTTCAGTCTTGATTATTTCAATACCCTAATGGCCAGCCCCTCATTCTTCATCTTCTACAAGCATCAATTTATCCAAATCTATGTTACACCATACTCCATACAAAACTTGCATGTGCATTATTATAATCGTCAGTGACTGCCAGCTAACCATTCCTTCATATTTCAACTTGCCATTTTTTGATTTAAATACTTGCATGAACTGCCTCTCCATCTCTATAGCTTCCTCCATTCCTGCAACCTCTTAAAAGCTCACATCTTTGACAATGTGTATGATCACATGCCGTTCTGTGGCTCAATGTTTATTTTCCTCACAGCTCTGTCAGGTTTGTTTTCTTTGTAAAAGATTTTATTACCCAAAAGTCAGCGGTTGTGATCTCCTTACATAGTTTTTAAGTTTTTACAAATACTTTTATCACCGTTGCATGCCTGTAATCAGCCCTGAATTTATCCAGTCATTAGTCAGAAACAACCCAATGAAGAAATAATTTTCACCCTGTTTCAAATATGAGATATCTTTTAACTCAAATTTTGTCTTGATTGTGTAAATCTTCTCACTCATATGTCGTCAAGAAGCAAAACTGAAATTTTCAGAATATCTTAAACAAGAGAGTACAACTTCTGCCATGCTGACTATAGCATGTTCCATGCAGTAAAAGTACTAACCGATTATTAACTTCAATGGAATGATTTAAGAATCTCCTTCATGTTGCAGAACCTCTTTACTCATTCTGGTTTTGTTGCACTCTGCTGAGACAGAGGATGCGTTCTGGCACTGATACATTTTTTCACAATGTGTCACAATATTTTCACTACCAAACTTTTTTTGGATCATCAATATTCTCAGCATGTACAGCCATTTGGGGAGAGAGTTTCAGATAGGGTGGAAGGGGAGAAGCTTTAAAGGGCGAAAGAGTTTATGCTGCTTGGCCACAGAGAGTGGTAATGGAGCAAATGAAGAAAAAATAATCCAGTAGTGTAGTGGACAGTGAAGAAGTTTATCTCAGATTACAAAGGGATCTTAATCAGATGGGCTAATGGGCTGAGGAGTGGCTGATGGAGTTTAACTTAGATAAATGTGAGGTGTTGCATTTTGGTAAGGCAAATCAGGGCAGTAATTTAATGGTAGCGCTCTGGGGAGTGTTGCTGAACACCCCTAAGAGTCTAGGGGTGCAAGTGCATAGTTCCCTGAAAGTGGAGTCACAGATCGGCAGGGTGGTGAAGAAGGCATTTATTGGTCTGTGAGCATAGGAGTTGGGATGTCATGTTGAGGCAATGCGGGACATCAGTTAGGCCACTTTTGGGATTCTGCATTCAATTCTGGTCTCCCTGCTACAGGAAATATGTTGTTAAACTTGAAAGGGTTCAGAAAAGATTTCCAAGGACGTGACTAGGACTGGAGAGTTGAGCTGTAGAGAAAGGCTGAATAGGCTGGGGCTATTTTCCCTGGAGCATTGGATGCTGAGGAGTTACGTTATAGGGGTTTACAAAATCATGAGGGGCATGGATAGCGTGAAGAGCCAAGGTCTTTTTGGCAGAATTCCATCCGAAAATAAAGTGGGAAAAGTAAGACACCCCGTTCCTTTCTCCATGGCAATGCTTTGGCTAATCAGTCACCTTACCAAACAGCACCATCTTCTCTTGTGGCTTATATTGTTGTAATTGTCTGAAATTTAGTCTTCTTGCATTTGTCCTCATGAGTTCAAGATGCTTTTCAGCAACATTCAAATACAAGATTTGAGCTGACACATTCAAAGAAAATGAAAAATAAAAGGCATTTACTGTCTGAAATTGTTGAACTCAGTGTGTGAGTCTGGAAAGCTGCAAAGTGCCTTGCTGAAAACTGAGTTTCTATTCCTTAAACTTACATTGACCTTCACTGGAACATTGCAGTATCGCAGCCCTATGGGGTGTTGCGGATGATTGAGGAGTGGACTAGGGATGAGAAAAGGTAACAAGTCTTGTCAGGAAATGCAACACTTGTGTGATCTCCTTTACACTAAGGAGGCTACACACAAATTGGGTGATTATTTGGTAGCACACTTCCATTCAGGAACAAGCACATCTCCAAGTCTCAACTGCTCTGCCATTAGAATTCTCCACATTTCTCTCACATTAAGTCTCTATCCTCAGTTTACTTCAATGTTCCAATGAAGATAAATGTGAGCTTGAGGGCTAGAACCACATCTTTTGATTTAACGATTTACAGCCCTCCAATATGGAATTCACTGCCACTGAAGGCTGTGGAGGCCAGGTCATTGAGTATATTTAAGACTGAGATAGACAGGTTCTTGATTATCAAGGGGATCAAGGGTTACGGGGAGAAAGCAGGAAAATGGGGTTGAGGAACTTATCAGCCATGATTGAATGGCAGAGCAGACTCGATGGGCCGAATGGCCTAATTTCTGCTCCTATGTCTTACGGTCTTATAACATTGAATTCCAGAATTTCAGACCGTAATCTCTCACATCATTTTTTTGTTACCTGTTTCAGATTTTGTCTTGTTATTGTTTTGTTCTTGCTATTATCTGTTCATGATTCTGCCATTCAGATGTACCCTTAGTTAATTTTACTTGTTCCATTACCATTCCCTTTGATTCACCAACTCTTGCCGATTAATGTGGCTCTTTGTTCTTTTTCTGAACTACTCATTTTGCCTAATTAATGTCTCTTACATATCTAAATTTTCCAGCTTCTGATGAAAGATTATGAACCTGAAATATTAATGCTGTTTAGATCTCCACTGATGCTGCCTGATCTGTTGGGTTGCCAGCTTTCCGAGAGCGAGCATAGGCATGATGGCTTGAACTTTCTATGCTCTAAGTTTCCATTCATTTTTAATTCCACAAAATGTGGAAATATTGTAGACAGTGATACACACACTACTTTACAGATTCAATAGACTGTAGCCCTGGTTCAATGCCTCATCAGTTTCAAGTAGATGTTGCTTTAAGACTACTGCATGCATGATGCCAATCAGACATCTTAATCATGACTAAATATGATGTGGTTTTACACAATCAATGAGTGATGTGGTTTTCGCTAGCTGAGACCAAAGCTAGTGGCTTATACTCTACACGAAATGCAGATTAATGCAGGCTGAATAGTCTCCTTCTGCACCGTAACACTCCCGTGATTCTGCAAGCTAATGTCCAACGTCAGCCAAATTGGCATGGAGTGCATTTTGCATTTAAGACGCTGTTCCTTCATAGCCAATGACAAAGCAGGTTTTATTTTAAGCCCCAAATAACTAACACAGTTGGCTGAATTCAAACTTACAGTCAGGCTTCAAGTACTTTGAATTGTAAAGTTGTTTCTATAAATCTGTTCAAGAGAAGGAATGCAACAACTTTGGCAAAGTGGATTTTGTTTTTAAGACTCAAAAGGGAAGTCAACTGCACAAAAAAGTAGTGAATTGTCCCCACTGCAGAGGGCACTGTATGCCCCAGGGGGAATGGAAAGGCAACACATAATTTTTATACATATATATAGAACATATAATAATGGGTTCCTGTGGCTGATTATGAGGCAAAAATTGAATTGAAGGCTTTGGATAAGAATCAAAACAAATACCTGGGAGAAAGTTGGCACATAGTTTAGGTAGTGTCAGAAACTCTACTGGTTAATATTCTGAGATTAACGTACCTTTTCAGAATCGGTCACCTTGGGATAAAGTAATTTTATTCTTGTTGGGATATTTCTGGTATTTCAGACAGTGTTAGAATCCTAATCACAGACTGAGAAGAAGCTGGTAAATGAATGTGGACTCTTATAATTATTGATCTGCTGCAAGAGGATGTGTATTCTGTACTACATAACTTGATAAAGATTGGCCTGTTACAGCTCCTGCCGCTATTTCACTCTGACGCTGCTCTGCTCACTCACTGCCTGCTTTTATATGGGCTATTTATAACTCCAAATATAGGATGACGTCACCACGCAACCCTCCACGCAGAAAGACTACAGGTCCCAGACGCCACTGCGAGTAAGGCGCTTGCGTACATCGAACGTCCTAAAGTCCCACAATCCGAGGTACATTTTTTCCCTGTAACACAACAGTTCCCACGTTTGAGGGAGGTGGCGAAGTCAATATTTGGACGGAGCGGTGGGATCCGGGTGGAGATTGCGGACAGCGTAGTGCTGCGGGCTGGCGGCGGAGAGTATTGGCGGCGGGGTCCTCCAGGCCCGGCTTTCCTTCGCACGGAAAGTTGGGCTGGAAGCGCGAGCGCGGCGGTTAGCGAGGGGGTGGAGTGCGCATGTGCAGAGCGCCGCCCACAGCTGGAGCCCGAGCCCGGCAGCGGGGGCTGGAGAGACAGCGGAGGGTGAG